GACCTAAACTGTTATTGATTTAACTTTGGGACCCCTTTTTTGTGAAGAATTTAAAACAATTTTGGGGTTCTAGGTATTCCTATTTGGAAAAAATTTGAAAACGCTTTGAAGCTTCTATAGTGTCTTTTCTAATAATAATTTAATTAAATTTCTTAGAGAATATGTCACTGGCTAAAATCAGTCTTAACAGGTATAGTTTCCCCAGTTGTAATTCGGTTTTATGATGTGTAAAAGTTAACTTCCTTAATAATAGATTATTATTGCCGGTGATGGGACAGTCATAAATAAAGACCAATGCTGTATAATGGTAACGGCATGGTTAAATCCTTGTTTATGACTGTCCCATTACCGACAGTAGTGATCTATTGTTCCGGCAGTTAACTTTTACACAATGTGGTACTATCATAAAACCGAATTAGAACTGGGGAAACTATACTAGCCCCACCCACCCTGTCTTTTCTACGAGGGTATTTCATTTACCAAAATCAGTTTTGTCTTGGCAGGTACTAGCCCCGCCCACCCACCCTTTCTTTTCTTAGAGGGTATGTAATTGACAAAAACAGTTTTATCGTAGCAAGTACTGATTTTTACTTTTATAAAATTACGTTTTTTTCGTAATCTACATCATAAACATTGTTTTTTTATTATTTATTTATTTTTTTTGGACTCCCTAAACCCCCGTACATAACGCACTGAAGAGTTAATCCACCATTTTCCAGACACCCGGTATTATTGAAAATAATTTTAGTTTGTGATCTTAAAAGAGCCTTTGATCTTTGAGTTTTTTTATTTCTAATAATTAATTAGATATCGAGGAGCGGGCGCTTAGTGACTCACTTGTATACACCCCGAAGAACTGATCTTCTGTATTTTGAAAAAAATCCAAGAAGAGGATAATTTCACTGTCAGATCCATCTTTTCATGTTTGCCTCCTTCACCCGGCATCCCCCCACAAGTATGATATTTTAAACATTTTCGAATTTGTGAAAAATAAATACAAAGTTTGTGTGTCCTCAAATAATCTAAGCATTTTGGATGGTAAATGCTATTTAAATTTTATAAAATGAATACTCCTGTACTTGCGGTTTATGAGCCTCCTTTGATTTTTTTATCGCAGGGATCTAGGTGGACTGCCTTCGTTAGTTAAAGCGTCGTGCCAATAAAGGTAAATGAAAACTGGCTTGTTTTTTTATTGTTTTTCTCAAAACAAAACAACAGTAGAATTATTTAGGGTGATTCCTTTTCATTCGAACGAAACTAGGAGAGCGCTTATAAATTTTGCATAAAATCTACCATAAAGCAATTGTTTTAAAAATGCCTGAAGATAAATAAAAAACAACCGTGATTATAAAATTGTTGTATAACTTGTAGCTCCCCATAATTCCTTCCAGACGAATCCTCTTGCAAAATTATTATTTTCTCGAAGAGGGGTGGTGCCACCCCCTCCCGGCACTCGGCCCTCCCCGTCGACACAGCCCTGTTTATGGCCTCGCAGTATCTTCCCATCTTTTTATTTTTGTTAATAACAAGGGAGACGTGAAACAAATTTAAGGTCCACAAATTTATTTCGGTCTATTCTGGGTCGCAGCATCGGGAGTATTTAAGAACCAGGGCGTAGTCGTTTCGCTGCGCGTTTGATTGTTATATTGATCTTATGTTGCTAGGAAACCTACACAGCATCAACCAGTAGCTGTGCCTGCCAGGTGCTCTCGTTGAGTATTATTTGCACATACATACATGTGTAGATGAGCTTTGTAATGTACAAACATAAAAAGAACAAACGGACAGGTAGATACACGGAACAATGGATTGGGATCTCTGTAATTGTACCTGGCAGGATAAGGATACACAATGAAGCACACTTTTGTAAAATTAACAGTATTACCACCCATACGTGAATTGAATTAAAGTTTGCTGAAACTGCTGCAGCGGCGAAACAATGCATAATTAAATTGTGTACTTTCGTTTATATCGATTTGCTTGTTTAGACCAATCACAATGACAAACAGGTGATGCGGTGCATGAATCTGTCCGAGTCTGTGAGATACTGGAACCTCACAAGAAGAAAAATTGATCTGAAATTATTTAAATCGAACTTCTCTCTCTCAATCAAACAATTACAGTTTTTTAAATAAATTAGGAGTATAAAATTGGAATCTAGCGGTTCCCTTCTTCTTCTCAAAGTAGCCATGATTTCATCATTGTAAAAAACAGTAGAAAAACTATGTCGTAGCACAAAATTGTAGATTTTATTTATAAAAAATTAATAACATCAATATACAAAATTTGAAAAAAAAGATTCCGGTACCGGGAATCGAACCCGAGCCTCCTGGGTGAAAGCCAGGTATCCTAGCCACTAGACCATACCGGATTGAAATACTGGGGTCTTAATCCGGTAATAAACTCTCATATTGTGATTTTTAAAAATAATATTCTCTTATGAGTTAATTTTAATTAATATTATGTATTAGAATGAACAAAACTAAAAAATATTTCAAAATGCGAAACGTATACAAATTAGATAGCTGATTTTTTTTACAATATGAACACCACAGAAATGCAAATAAAAAACACACTTCTAGGAAAAAAAATTACAAACTAAGTCGAATGACACAATTCAGCAAACATCGCGATCTAAAGTATTTAAAACTCGTTGCATAGAGCAGAAAAATACATCTAGGGGAACTTCGGGTAATATCATACAGCGGGTAGTGTCCGCCAGATGTTTTAAACGACTTTCATTACAGTTCACGAAGGCGACAAATGCGTTCAATATCAACTGAATACGAGTAAATGACTGTTGAGGTGAGTTAAGGTGGAAAAGTCAGCGTGAAATCTGAATTTGTGTTGGTTATCTGCTTGAATTACGAAAAAGATTAAATCCAGGATAGTTTCGGTTGATTTATTGAATTTAAAACATTGTCGGAGTTTATTAAGTGCCAAAATCGTTAAATGATATCATGTGGGGCATAAAATTAATTTTTTTATGCTTCTGAATTCCTAAATGAGACCATTTTCTTAGTTTAGGAGTATAGATTTTCTGTTTTTAAAATACTTAAAATAAATTAATGTTATATGTCAGAATTAATTTATTTTTATTTTATTGTCGTTGTTTCTATTTTGATTAGTGGACCAATACTTGTTTTAAAATAGGTAGTGTCACCTAGTGGAGAATGGCGTAAGTATGACGTTAATAGAGCAACCGATAGATGGCAGGACAAGCGTAAATTTTATTACTCAGAGCAAAAAATACGCAAAGATCGCACACATTAAAATCTGCTATTTAAATTACTAAATAACACGATCCTCATTCTCCTTTAACCCCGAAAACTAAAAATTTATCGAAATACGCCCCTCTTGCTTATATTCATGAAAAACGAACCGTTGACACAACTGTCAGGATGGCCGAGCGGTCTAAGGCGCCAGACTCAAGGTTACCTTGCCTGCAATGCAGGTCTGATGAGCGTTCTGGTCCTCTCTGAGGGCGTGGGTTCGAATCCCACTCCTGACAACTTTTTTTCGAAAATTTTTTTGTTTATTAGTTTGGTTACTTCGAACTACGCTAAAATTAACCCTTACGACGCTCTCCAATTAAAATAATGCTTTGGGAAACATATATTTAAAATGTGTGGTTTAACAACTCGGCAACCACCTCGTCGTATGGCAGCACTGTTGTAACTGCAAACTCCTCCCCCTGTTGCCATGGAGACAGCTTCCTCTTTTGTTCTCTTTAGCTGTTGTCGGTTGGAGGGTTGGAACAAAACGGTCGCATAAACAGTGGCGCAACTAGGGTGGAAGATTAGGATTAGCAAATATTTAAAATTTAAAAGAAAGAGGGACAATGTTAGATGATGACTATTTTTCTAGTTGTTTAGAAGGGACGTGTAATGAATTAGTGAAAGTTGTTGTGATTTTCTATGATACAATTATTAATTTATTTGTGAAACAACTAGAGTAAACGATAATGAGCTACGTCCGATAATCTTTATTGACGTAGTAATAATATTGCATTAAAAGAATACTACTTTCTTCCAAAACTTTCACTTGGAGGAACCTACTTTTTAAAGTTATTTTATTTTTACTCTGAAATATCGAAGAAATATATATAAACTCTGATTAATAATAATATAATTAATCCATTTTTTAATTTTTATGTATCTTGAAATTCACACAAAATTCATCTAATCGTAAAAAACATGATAAGAAAACTTAAAAAAAAAACTATACCTGGTGATTTTTGCAGTTATTGGGAATAAAATATATATTATTACACATTTTCAACCATATTGCCTCAGACACTGATTATTATTTAATGAAAAAATAATCACTCAGATTATATATTTGTAACTGCAATTATTTCCACATCAAACAGACCTTATTTATTTATGATCTACACTGAAAAAATAAAAAAGAGTGTCGACTGGCGCCATTTAATAAAAGAAATCGCTTTTAGTCTCGTTAACAATAATCAGGTGTATAATATACATAAGTAATAACTAAATAAGAAATCCATCTTGTATTTCTTCAATTATTGTCTATGCAGGTAGTAATTTAAAAGTAGTTTAGTCGTTCACTTGAGACGGACGCTAAAAAAAGATTTTAATTTAAATAGTTACGAAATTGGTGTGGTTTTTGAAGGCATTATTATTAGTTTCGATCTGGATATTTAGAGGCTTCATATTTTTATAGGAATATGCGTTTACAAAATTTTATTATTTTAGAACTGTGAATATAAAACAATAAAAACTGCTGTTATAAAGGTTAATCATCAGTTAATATTCATAGCATGAGTTATGGTTGGACGATTTTAAGGCAATTATTGTGTATTTTCTAACTGGCTCGCTGATGTTCCGTGATCCTTTTGTTTTAGTTCGACTAGTGATTAAAAATTTCTAAATTCCTGATGATTATTAAATTCTTATTAATTATATATTATTTTCTTACACCATGGCTCATCTCTAGATACGCCACTGGCTTTCACCCTAAGCGTTTTCTCAATGGGGTCGCATCTGTCAATTTTTCGCGTCTAGTTCAACCTCTAGTGTTGTAGTGGTTTAGTTTACAGTGACAATTACCGAAACGTAAAATCAAAAATATAACAAAACAAAAGTGATAAAATTTCGTGCGCGTGTTTATAAACCATAAAACAATAAAAATCATAAACATTAGCCGGTTACCGCTGATAGTGCAAAAAAGATATGCGTGAATATGTATAATTCCGTCGTGATGCGATAACGACATTTAAAGGCAGTGCATAAACAAAGATTAATTATTGTTGGTAAATTATTTTATTGTTGAAAGACTGTACTGCCTTTAAAAAGCCAAATTTCGCACCGATGTATATCTAAAATAGCATCTCTTAAATCGGTAGAATCCAAACCTCATGCCCTAAAAGTAAAAATGAAAGAGGGTTGACACGAGTGAAAACTGTAAATTTGAGAAAAAATGAAGTCGTTCGAATGCGAATCATCTTCTGAAGGCGATGAACCTACCATCCACCCCATCTCACGGACAATAGCTCAGCCGCCGCAGTGGCTGCGAGGGAATTCTGTCCCCGGCTGGGGGTGGCAAGCCAATGTAGGTATAACACAGGACCGACAATGTTTGGAAAGAAAGTTTTGAAACTCTTACGCCGCTTTGTTCATATTAAATTGATCTTTTTGCAATCTACAAACTAAATTTTGAATTTTCTGATCAAAAAGTCAGCGAATAATAAGTAAATACAATCGATGATCGAATTCAGCGTTGTTTCTAAAAAAACTACCCCTTTGCTAATCTCAGTCTTCTAAAAAAATAGGGGTTGAACAAAGTAATTATGAGAAAATTCCATGAGCTTACATAACAAGGTTCTGCAGCACATGAAGTTTTTTAAAGGATTATATTTTTTCATTGTAAATTAATTAGTTTACACAATTACATAGATGTGACGGTCTTGAAAAGATTTGCTTTCCAACATCAAAAAAAAAAAAAACAATATGAACTCATCATTACACACTTTATTATATATGTACATACATATACTTACTTAAAATTAATTACATCGTTAAATCATTGTATCACTACAAAACAATTATGTGTTTTTGTTATTTATTTGTTTACAACACGACCTACTATCGTGTCACGTGACTATAGCACTTTCTTATTTATTGTTACTTTATTTTTCCATATATAATCTTTTACTATCTACCGATTTGATAACAACACTTAATTTATTTTCTCACTTGGTTGAAGTGCAACTATCTAAAAACTTCCTAAGATACTATTTAATCTATTGTTGTAAAATTCCAACACGCTTTCTATATATTGACAAATTTGCATTCGTGTCAGTGATGCCAACAGAAGAAAATTTTCTGCAAACAAATTTTTCATCTTTTTATTGGCATCTTAAGCCACCTTCTTGATGTATTACGACCGAGCAAGCCGTCACGTCTTATTTCATCCACACCATCCAAGCCATAAACCAATTAACTGTTGTAATAACTCTCACATGTTTAAACACTTAATTGAATTCAGTGTGGCTCGTCAACAACTGGTGGTCCAAGTTCCTCGTCTGGCGCCTTAGATCAAACGAATTTCGCTCCCTTTACCTCAAGCTCGACAGAGGAGGGTCAAATTCCCGGCAGGCGAACCCCTTTGGGTGCTGTGGGATTAGGTGGTTTCTACTTCCAAGGCTGTCAACCCAACATTGCTAGCCATGGGCCTCCGTCCGACGAGAACAATCCGGATCCCACCGACAACAATCAGACCAACAGGTAACCAAACAACAAAGACACTCAAATTCGCTCTAAATCGGATGCAGGCATATCTGCACATTTTGACTCACTCCCACAATGAATCTCCCAAACTTTTGAATAAACCAGACAACACCATCTATCAATTATTAAAAATCCTTTCAGACCGCAGCATTCCCGAGCTTCGCAGAATTCCCAAAACGCCAATCCCTCCAAAGGCAAGAACAGGCAGGGAAAATCCGTCCGACTTAACATCAACGCCAGGGAAAGGAGAAGGATGCACGACTTGAACGACGCTTTGGATGAACTAAGGGCTGTGATTCCTTACGCTCACTCGCCATCAGTTAGGAAGTTGTCCAAAATTGCTACTTTGCTGCTTGCCAAAAACTACATTCTTATGCAAGCGAACGCGCTGGAGGAGATGAAGAGGCTGATAGCGTATCTACAGGGGACTGGTGGGGGCGCTGCCATCGTCGCTCCACCAGGATTTGATCTTCAAGGGTTTCCAGCAGCTGCCAAGTTCTTGCAGCAGCAGCAAGCTTTGCAGGCCGAAAATGCGAGGAACAGTGAAGGGGGGAACAATGGAAATTCGGGTTCAACAATGTGAAGGTTGCTCAAGAGTTACTGTTTGTAGGTTATGGCGGTATTTTTGCTTTTATGACTTCATTTTTTGACGATAACGAGTTTGGTGTTTTAAAATTGTGGATTGTGACTGCAGTAATTGTTAAATTATATTCAAATTATGTAACAAATATAATATAGAAGGTTAAATCACATTATTTACAGAAGATGGAAGAGGTTAGAATTGTTCTGTGAATTTGGAGTAGATAGAATACGTCGAAAATTCGTATCATGTTGCATTCAAAAAAAGTAACACGGCACGATTTTTTGGAAGCGGTATATTTCATTTGGTATTTAATATGTTGTGACACCAAGTAGAAAAAGAAACATTATGTAGAAAAGCACATTCCTGCACAAATACAAAAAAAGATCAAAACTGCATCTATGTACGATAACAATAAGTTCATTTATATTTCTTTTAAGTCTTAAAAGTTGAACATGCTCAGAAACCTGCCATTTCGAAAACCAAAGTTATTAGTAATGAAATAATCAATGTAAACACAGAAAAAATAACAAGTATTATATAACATTATTGCTTTCTGAAAATCACAACTTTTATAGTGAACATTCTTAAAGTCACTCTGTTTAGTTCTTGTGGTGTTTAATAACAATAATAATACTCTACTCACTATATTTGTTATTTTCGCTGTGTGAGTTCCTTCAATTTTTTTAAATATGGTTCGAAAATGCCACAAGCACAATATTCCATAATTTTTTACGTTGTTTTGAAGGCCTAATTGATAAACTTTGCCCGTATTCTTTAATTTAACATGAATACATCAGTTGGGTCACACTTTTTCTAAATTTGCTACAAAGCTTTAAGCTCTCGTGTTTTATAAATTTTTGCTGTGGGTTTTTATAACTTTACTGATGAAGAAGGTACGCAGATTTTTTCTAAATACTGAAAAAGTTAAATTAACTGAAAACAGAATATATGGTAGAAGATTATAACTAGTTTTAGTATTTATAAATAGTGTGTGATAATTTCTAGTCACAATCAGTTTAAACAATTTAGGCTGTAGATAATGGAAATAAAGCAATATTAAAATAAGTATAAATTGACTTCAGCAATAATACCGATGATATACTATTATATAATAAGATATTTTAACAATCAAATTGTTGTTACAGCATTCATTGCTAAATGTCCAAACTTGTAACAGTCTAGTCAATTGTAAAATTAGTAACGTGTGATGTATTATACTGAAATGAATTAGTTAGCTACATTTGTAAAAGCAATAGGAAAATAAAGTCTATGTCAAAAATAGTCGCTCATTTAATTCTGTATATTGTAGACTACTCATACTATTTACTATTATAGTTATAAATAGCCTATTATTCATCTTACAATAATTTCTTATCTTATAATAATTTCCAAATTACTGTGTATACATTTTCTGTGAACGTATGTTCCATTATTTTTGACAAACCTTCATTTCACTGAATACATACTGAAGAATGTAAACATTTTCAGAAGTTCAAAAGAGGTTCTTTCTTTATTTCTTCTCTCTAATGACTTCATTTTCTTCGTCGTCAAAAAATAGAACCGGTTTCTAGACATAGCAGTAGACCATGGAAACTCGGACTATAACACATTCTTATCAGAAGAAATTACCATCATAGACTTTTTTGTAGGTTTTCTCATGGGTTATTTTTTTCAAGATTCTTTCATTAGGTAGATATCATTAGTATTGTTACGAAAAAAACCCATACGCCGCCCCGGTACAACGCCTATGGGTTTTCTGGTATGTGTGGCGATGATGGATGACTCATCGTCGGTGACGGCGGCCGAACGGAAGTGGAAGTCGCGATGGGTGTTCCAGAACAAGCCTAGAAGCAGTGAGAGCGAGCTTCGAGAGTCAGTGAAGTCAAATCCATTCCAGTCGGAATGATTCTGTATACAATCGCTGTGTAATTAGTCGTGTAAAATCGAGTTACTAAGAAATGAATTGATGAGTTTCACCCACGCTAATTTTTAATCACCGATCAACGTTTGAAAATTTTTCGCAAAACTGTTTTAAGTAGCAATTTTCCACGTCTGGACGTTTTAACTTGTAGGAACAAAACTCCCGTACCAAAATGTAATGTTTTAGGAGATTTATCATTTAAACGTTTCAGGTCGAGACTTATCTGTAGAGAATATTTCGCAGGTCACGTTATTTTAAAAGCAAAAACCGCAAACATTAATTTACAGTGCCATCAACTGAATTTTTTGCAGTGATAAAACACCACCGTACAGTTTTATTACTGTAAAATATAATGATGGTATTTTATCGCCAATATTACAGCACATCATGGATACTTTATCGTTATAATATAACTTCTGGTAACTACATCGGCAAAAGCATTTTAACTGTCATTTTAACAAATGGAAGTATCACTTTACCCGGTTTTAAAATGCTTTCAACAAAGTTTGTGATTTATATAGTACCTAACAGAAAAAAAAAACGAATTTGCATGGTCACTTGATTAAATAATAGTTCTTTTAAAATGGTTCAGTTCACATGTTACAAATCTATTTTTTTAGAGGTTGTGATAACCACAACATGTTGCAAATCGTATGCACTCAATTATAAAAACCGCGAAAAATTCAAAATTTGATCGTCAACAAAATGGAACCCTACATTGTGTGTGTGTTTTTGGTTGGATTAACGTCGCATTCCTGCGACTTACTTCCATCCCCGCAAAGGAGAGCCAACTAGACCACCTGATTCACTGACGGCGAAAATCATGTGTTGCAGATAAATTTTCACATGAACAATAACAATGAGAAAAATGCTCTACATTTGAGTGCAGACCCGTCACTCTGCTTCTGCAACGCAATCTCGTGCGTTTATAAAATTAAAATCCATTAAATTTTGACGGTTCCAAAATTTAATTTTGCAACAATCTATCAGGAATTTCAAATAAGAAACCACACATGAAATAAACACAACAGCCACATTAAATGCGGTCAAAATTAAGATAAAAATTCGAGAATAAATGTTCAAATTCAAGCTGTAAGAAAAAATTAAAACCCCTTGTTTTTAAGTCCACGATGATATTAATTTAACTGAAAATAATTTTCAAGGTCCTTTCTCTCCAAATGGATCGATGTTTAAGATTAGATTAAATGCCATTAATGATTTATTATAAATTTCGTGTAAGAAGTTATACAGTGTGGATAATGTATTGATTTAAGTGAAAACATCTAGAACTTTAGATAAATATTGGAAAATTTCGCTTTTTTGTCTAAAAATGCTCACAAAATTTAAGAACATTTAAAAAAAAATTAAAAATCTAAAAATTGCGATATTTCAATGATGCATTCTGGAATCCCGAGTAATGGGAAAAGCGAGTCCAGAAGTGACTTCTGGAGCCCGAAATCTACAAGAAAATTGATCGAAGTTTGCATATTGTAAAATTTCGCTTTTGTAAAAGTTGTCTGAAAATCCTCAAAAAATTCTAGAACAGAGATCTCTGATTCCAAAAATATGGCACGTTTATGCTCAAGCAGAAATATTCTGTTTGAAAATACAATTTTTTAAAAATTCTAAAAAAAATCTAAAAATTGCGAAATTTCACCACGGCATTCTGGAAAACCGGTTGTAGTAATAGGAGAAACGAGTCCAGAAGTGACTTCTCAAGCCCGAAATCTACAAGAAAATGGATTTAGTTAAGTATCAAAAATGGTCAAAAATTGGTCGAAATTTGCATATTGGAAAATTTCGCTGTTTTAAAAGTTGTCTAAAAATCCTCAAAAAATTCTAGAACAGAAATCTTAACATATTGATTCCAAAAATATACCGCGTTTATGGTCAAACAGCAATATTTTCGAAATATTCTGTTTGAAAATAAAATTTTTTAAAAAGTTTTTTAAAGTCTAAAAACTGCGACATTTCAATTATGCACTCTGGAAAACCTGTTAAGAGTATTGGGAAAAACGAGTCCAGAAGTGATTTCTGGAACCCGAAATCCGCAAGATACTGCATTTAGTTAAGTATCGAAAATGGTCAAAAATAGATCGATATTTACATATATACCGCTTACATATTATAGTTAAATTTGATTAGAGCCATGAACATTTAAAAATTCTTAGTAATCATAACATGAACTGTGAATAACCCGTTAACGAATTCGGCAAAGTTTCACAAAATTTCAGAGTAGAAAATCCTTAATAAACTGATTTTACACTAATTATACTGGTTGAAGGGAGACCATGAGGGCGAATGCGATTTCATTTTGTTTAAACAATTGCCCGCTTATGAAATTACAAACAAAAAATTAGGTACCAATTTTAACGTGTGCTTTCAGTGCTATAAGTGAAAAAAAAGGAACGAACCTTTTGGATTTCTACTGACCTACAAAACTTCCCAAAACTATCAACTTAAACTCAAACGCACTAAAATGTGACTGCCTACGTTAGTGGATTTTTTTTCTCAGCACGAAATTTAATTTTTCAAAACGGGACACCACATGGCTGTAAAAATGTAATATTTTACGAAACATTAGATCAGTTTAGAATGCCAGATTTTATAACACATATTTGCCTCAAACAACGGGTGATGAAAAAGTTTTCAGATTAGAGTAGGCTATGGAAATATTTTTCGTTTCTGTGATTAAACCGGTAAAGCTTAAACTTTAAAACCAATGAATATCGAAACAAAATCAGTATGGAAAGCCGCGATTCCAATAAATGAATGTTGAAACAGCGAATTTAAAATGAGTTTTTTGCCGTCATGGAATCGTCGTTCTCAGTTTTCGACCCTTTATTCATGAGTCAGAAAACAAGCATTATTCGAAATTTAATTTGACAAATTTCAATTTTGACACGCAAGGTTTAATCAAAGAAATAAACGTTACAGTAACGAAAATTTTTACAATAAAAATAATTATCATTTTATACAGAGAGCTGTTGGTGAAAAGGTGTTGAAATTTCCTAAATTTGCCAAAATATTCAATCCGTTTTACAAGTATAATAAATAATAATAAGTTTTATAAAGTTTATTTAATTAAACCGGAACGAAGTGAAGCGAGTGTTTAAAAAAGCGAGTGTCTAAAGAAGTTTATTATAAACGTGACAAGAATGAATATCACTATTCAAAACTAGTTCGACGTCAAACTGTTTTTGGCCAATCCGTATTTAAAGAACACGAAAACTGTTGAACGCACTCAAGACGTGTCTAATGAGCCCGGATTATGAACTATGATTAGCGCCGTGGTTCGCTAAACAAGGTTTAAAATACGTGAGTAGAAATGTTTCTGTTATAATATAAAAAGTAGAAAGATTAAAAATAATCAAAGACAAAATTCGTCTTAACACCATATCGTGATTTATTACAAAAACAGAGGAGAATATAGACCGCCCCTAGCCATATTTTCCAAAAAAACCGGAAAAATATTTATTATGGGCTCAACAATAAGCTTGTTATGGCATATCGACAGCAATTTATTCTTTCAACATAAAAAACTTCACTCTTTTACCTCCCCTAGTAAAAACCGACTCCGAGAATCTGTCGGATTTGTACGCTCGTGACCTATTTTGACGAGATCTGAGAAACTCGATCAAAGTTTTTTTTCCAACAGCAATAATTCTTCGGGAAAATCATTCCTCTTCTGAGTCAATAGAAGAGATCACTCTCCAACTTAACAAATCCTCCGTAAAATACACAATGAACGCACCTACATACAAACGCTGAGGCAACTTCTAAGTGGGCTTTCATCCGCGATCAATCACCAGTGAGCAGGTAAATTTTCAAACCAAACGAAATGTATTCTCTTTTTATTTTTTGCGGATATGCGTTTGCAGGACTGCTAAATATTTAAATCGACTTTCGGCGGAAGGCACTATTGGAAATTGTTTCAAAGCGATCTAAAAAGTTTTCGATTTGTAAAACCGTCTAGCCAACAGGAAATTAATGTTTCTGTAATGTTTTTAAATGCATTGTGGAATCACGTAAGTGTGAACTGTCTTAATCAAACAACCAGTTGTGTGTTTCATGCAAGTTTATTTTTACGAGTGCGGTGCAAGTATGCAAATTTTATTAATTTTTTTCCAAGTGTACAGCAGGAATGATTTTCTAGGATTATACAATGTTATCCTTTAACACGATTAGTCTTGTTTTACATCGCTTACTCTTGTCAAGGAAAACACTGACGATTCTGAATTACATAAAATTTTACCGTGGGAACGTTGTCACTACTTAAATTGCTACGTTCTTCAAAAATTCTCTCTAATGGCAAACAGGTATCTGAGTAGTTAGTGCGATTCCGATTGTCACAGGTCGT